TTTGTGCCTGGGGTTGCCCCGACCCAGGTGATAATTCATTCCTTTTGCTTTATCTATGTATCAATAAGGCAGCATAGCTGTGTCTTGTCCTGGAGAACTGGACTTGGCTTATACCCCTCAGCAGGGACCTCCTGTTGTTTATTTCGTGTACCTATAGGCAGTTTCTCCATCCGTATGGGCCTATATGCGCTTACACATCGAGCCTGTGCGCTGTACACCCTGTGTAGGCATGGCTGCAAATTTCCTCCTGTTTATAAATGTGTGTCAGAATATTTTCCACTAATCCCAATCTTGTAGAAAATTTTGGAATCGATGGTTGATTTGTGGTTTCAGGTAAGATCAGCTTATAGACTCTTAGGATATTGAGGGGTTCTTCTCACCATTTCCCTTGTCATCCCCTTTCAGCGTGAGTGCATTTCTGTTCACATTGGCCAAGCCGGAGTTCAGATCGGCAACGCCTGTTGGGAACTCTTCTGTCTGGAGCACGGCATCCAGCCAAACGGCACCTTCATCGACCAACCCAGCTATGATGACTCTTTTGCCACGTTCTTCCGAGAGACAAGGTCTAGGAAATACGTGCCCCGCGCTATTATGGTGGACTTGGAGCAAACTGTAATAGGTGAGTACAGAACTACTCTTGGAAAACAGAAATGAATTAACTCTTCTGGGTGCCAAAGTTCAGATCACTGAATAGCAGGACAATGTCCTTACTATTAGGCATGATCCCAACACGCAGGCAAAATGTAGATTTTAAGTTTTTAATACCAGATATTACTAAAAGTTCTGTTATTCTCGGTGAAAAGATGAAAACTGGACTGCACTCGGCCATGGGTGCACTACTACTAACTTATCAAATCAGAAGTTTACTATTGTTTAAACCTCCACTGGTTATGACTACAATTTAGCTTTCTTAGATTCCTTTCTGCTCTTTCTTTGTGGTGCTATTTTTCCTTTGCTAACTGATGGAAAATGTTTTCCTTGCATTCAGATGTAAGATAGGAGCATGAAGAATCAAACTGACAGATTTTCAGGGGAAACTACTGTTTTACTCTTTCAAATCTCCTCTTTTTCTAGTCATTGCCCTGAAGGTTCTGATGGATCTTTAGCTGATCAGTATATAGAGCTGAAATTTTACCACAGCACGGCACAGCTCTCATTTGATAAATTAATTCATTTGTATAACACAGCAAGTTAGACTTGGAGCAGAGTCCACTTCATTTTTTTTTTCACAACTGTGAACATCTCAGATGATTCTCCTCACGTCTGTACTTTGTTTTTCAATATACACATCTTCCATGCCACTTTTTGCAAACATAAAATGCTCCTTGGCAAATGATCTCTTCCAAGCTTATGCTTTTTCTCTCTTGTTCAGATGAAGTGCGGACTGGCACCTACCGTCAGCTTTTCCATCCAGAACAGTTGATCACTGGAA